AGAGTCCAAACAAGGGTCACGTCCTCAGGGAAGTCTTCCTTGATTCCTAGGTCAGAACATGGTCCTCTGTTCCTCTCACAGAGCCATACTCCTTTCTGCAGAGCACTTATCTCCACACTTATTATATAAGTGTCCAATATATACCCAGCACTGTGCTTAGGTACTCTGTAGACTTTGAGTCATTTGATCACCAGATGGGTATCTGTATTAGTCCATTCTTGCATTGCTATAAAGAAACACCTGAAACTGAATGATTTATAAAGAAAAGAGGTTTAATTGGCTCACAGATCTGCAGACTGTACAGGAAACATGGGAGCATCTGCATCTGGGGAGGCCTCAGGGAGCTTTTACTCTTAGCAGAAGCCAAAGCAGGAGCAGGCACTTCACATGGTGAAAGCAGGAGCCGGAGAGTGAGAACAACCAGATCTCTGGAGAACTCACTCACTATCATGAGAAAAGCACACAAGGGGATGGTGCTAAACCATGCGTCAGAAATCTGCCCCCACGATCCAATCACCTCCCAACAGGCCCTACCTCCAACATTAGAAATTACATTTCGATATGAGATTCAGCTAGGGACACACATCCAAACTATATCCATATCATTTTCCCCATTTTGCAACAAGCTAGGGAACTGCACTCACAGTTGATCTGCAGAATGTTGCATATCAGACAAGTTAGATATTAAACTTCCAGGACTGATTATTTGGTCCTGGGTCTTTAGTTAACTTGAATAAATGTCACAGTATTGCCACACAGTTGCAATTCCTAATAAACTCCACTTCCACTTCCCCTAACAGATAAAAAATAAATAAGTGACCTTACAAATATGACTCAGGCCAAAATCAGAGACAGTAGACATTTTTAAAGTGTCTCGAGTCGGGTATGGTGGTTCAGGCCTGTAATCCTAGCATTTTTGGGAGGCCGAGGCAGGAGGGTGGCTTGAGGCCATAAAGTTGAAACCAGACTGGACAACAAAGTGAAAATCTGTTTCTACAATAATAATAATACAGAATAACCAGGCATAGTGGCACACACCTATAGTCCCAGCTACTCAGGAAGCTGAGGCAGGAGGATCCCCTGGTTGCATCTGAGGCTGTGGTGAGCTATTATGATTGAACTACTGCACTCCAACCTGGGCAACAGAATGATACCTTGTCTCTAAAATTAATTAACTAATAAGATAATAAAATATAGTTTTGTTCTGGGATTTTAATTTAACTTCAGTTTAGAGTAAGTGGGGGTATTTGACCTCTTGCCAGAATCGGTTATCCATCTGGTGAGGTAGAATGTTCATTTCAATGATGGAAGAGGTAACAATAGCCCCTGACGCAGTGCTACCCACCAAGGAATGTTAGGGCACACAGTGCCATGTATCTGCAGAAGGCTGGCCAACACAATTTGGGAGCTCTTTTAATTGCAAATGTGCTTTTTCCTATCGCTGCTTTACTAACTTCTAGTGTCAAAATATTGTCATCTATGAATGAGATTCAAAGAACATCAAGTATGATAAAAAGAATTAATCAGGCAAAAGAAAGTGAAAGTCAAGGAAAACCAATCATCTTAAAGACCATTTGTTGTTTAGGGTAGACCCTATAAATAGGAATAAAAGACTGCAGAATAAACAATTTATTTTCCAATGAGATTGGATTTGTTCATCTAATGGCTGCAGTGTTTCTGTTACAAGTAGAAGACATGCAGGACACTTGTTCTGAGATAATCTTACCAGCTGACTTTCCTACTTTTTCATCATCATTAAAAATCAGATTTTCCACTGGTAGTCCTTCACAGATTTTTAAAAACACTATATTCAAAAAATAGTTTTGATCTTATTACCCAAAACTTCTTATACAAGAAGACTGCTGGTATCAAACCAGATGTATTTGGAAAGCTTTGAAAACCAGTGCAGGAAAGCACATATTCTCTGTAAGGGCACAGCTGGTGGTGGCCCCTTCTGCAGCTGTCCTACTGGGCAACCCAGGTAGGGAGCAAGTGCAACCCGGGTGAGTACAGGGTGAAGCTGGGATGAGAGCAGATGTGGCTTAAGTTCAGGCTGAATCCTCTTTGGGGTATAATTGATTTTTCTTCACAAAGCTGACCCACCTTCCTGGAGCCATACCAAAAAGAGCTATGGGGGCTACAAGAAAACTCTCAGGCCACCTAAAGTTACCCAATTCTCCTTTCACAGTACAAATTCCTTCCCTAACCTCACTTTCAGAGCAGATACAGAATTTTCTCAGTTCCATAGGGCAGCCTACAATCAAACCTGGTAATGTGTCCTGAATACCTTAATAACATTGGAAATCTGCTCAAATGGGAAAGGTCCACAAATAACATTAGATACTATCCACAAGGCTCTTGAACCTCACAACTCTGTTACTGAGAAAACTCCCTGAAAACTCCTGTTACTGAAAAAAAATCCCTGGACTCTACTAAAATAGGGCAGTGGTTCCTATTCAGAGGGAGAGTGGCCCTAGATCCTTTCCACCCACTGGCCTTCCAAAGATGGTTATTCCAGAATCAGGGAACATTTTAGATCCAGCCACAGAAAACTGGCTTAGCAGTCAGCTCTGGATGTAAGATTTGGATGTGCCACTTAGGGCTACGTGGACTTGGGATAAATTCCCTAACCTTTGAGTCAGGGATTAGGATAGGCTGCCCTATTAGGAATGTCATGAGAATTAAATGAGAGACCATCTGTGAAGTGTTTAACCTGCTGTTTGTCTCTCAGTAAGCACACAGTGAATAGAGGAATCATCCAGACATCTCTGACCTCAATTTGAGACCACAGCAGCCTCCACATTGATGTTTACTCTGGTTGTAGGTTGTCAACTAAAATCCAGAGGAGGGGTGAAACTCTAGGCCCAAGAATGTCTGATTGCAAATGGTTGTAGTACCACTGTGAAGACTGAGCACGGATTTTGAATTCGGACCTGAATGGGAATCACTTCCCCTTCACTAATTACTGTCTTAGGTGAACATGGCTAATTCAACTTTGTATTTGTTTTCCTGTTTATACAATGAGGATAATATCCAATTGAGGGATTGAAAGCTTTAAATGAGATATTTACATGTAAAGTCCTTAGAACAATAGCTGCCATATCATAGGAGCTCAATTCATAACTATTGAATCCAATTCAAAAAGTGCTAAATAACTGCAGTCATTTTGGTATATAGAAACTAGCCAGTAAGTTAAAATTGGAACCAAAAGATAAGCTTGGTTCAGATAGTCTTCAAACACTGATGAATACACATTCTGCCTTTAATAAGGTAAATATTCCAACAGGCCTATTAAGCTATAACTCATAGTTCATCTACTTTACCTATTCAGATTTCTTACCTTATTGATAAGAATTATTTGTGCCAGGCAAGGTGCATACTAATTAAAATCATTAATTTCACACTAAATTAGCTTCCTTTAGTAAGGTAGAAAGAACCAACTTTTTGATGACCTATAGAATATTGCTATGTTGTGTGTACTCTTCTCCGCTTTTTTACAAATTTAGAAAACAGGATTAGTACAAAAGTTAAGCAGATGAGGGAAGCAGTAAGCGTCAGAGGAAGAAATTGAATGCAGGTCTGTCTGAGCTAGCCTGCCCATGTGTTTGCCCTTTCTGTTTGCTCTGAACTTTCCATTTCTCAGTATTTCTCAAGAGCATGCCTTCTAAATAGGATTCTCAGGAAGCCACTATTGAATTAATAAAGGCCATTTACAGCCATTCGAAGGGAATAAGAAGTTTAGTCGGTGATGAGTTTCAAATTTGGTTATCATCTTGCTTTTCCAGAGGTGATGAAAAAGCAAAAATCACTCAAATACAATGACTACTGTCTGCTTGAAACGCTCCAGGTAATTTTTGAATTATGATTCACCTTGCCCTTCCTGTTTTGATGAGCCATGAACAGGAGACTGAACCATCCCTGTCAATAAAAAGCTCGCATTTCCACCCTGCAAATTCGCGCTATAATGACAGTGTAATTGGCTGAGGCGCAGGTGGGATTTCCTGTCGCCATTTTAAGACACAACTCTTCTGCAAGGAAGTGCCCAGCCAGTAAAAGGGGGCTGTGTCTGAAACAAAGAGTAAGCGGGGAAAAAAGGGAACCAGGCCCAGTTGCCCCTGTTCCCCTCCATCGCGCTCCCTTGTCCCCAGGACTTGGAGCGCCCCAGCTCAGTTAACCTGGACGCACCAGGTCCTTCGGTCGGAACCACATGGGGTCTCCAGGCCCTCTAAGAGCTGGCCCCCGCCTCTTGTGCCTAGGCCGGTGCTTTCTCGGCGCTCAGCAAATCCTTCTGGTTGCCTCACACCCAGTCCCCAAAGCAGAGCTCCACAGGGCAGATCTCAGGAAGGGCTTGCCAGGTCTGCGGATGCTGGATCCGGAAGAAGGGAGGTGCCTCCCGCTTCAGGATAGGGACAAAGGGTTTCTAAAGGTGCCCGAGCTCCCCGCTCCCCCTGTCGCTTCGTTCCCCTTCCCGCCAACCCGGGCCATCTGCGGGCTGTACCCAGGGCCAACCCTCCGCTCCAACGCTGCTCGTAGTCCCAGGCGCTCCCCGCGGCTCTCCGGGCTGGGCTCGGACCGGCCACTCCCGCGGCCATCCTCATGCTGCGCCCTTCCCACAATGCAACTCCCTCACTCCTTCGGCCCCGGCGGGGCTCTGGCGTACCCAAAATGCAGGCCCCAGCGGAACGCACAGCCCTCCTGTCCTCCTCCGGTGCCCCTTTAGCCACCCCACCCCCCACCTCTAAGGGCTCTCATTCTCCAGCTGCCGCCGCAGCTGGGTTACGAACACGCCGCCGGGCCCCGGGAGGGAGAGGGGCAGGTGCCAGGGCGGTGCGCAGCCTCTGCTCCCGGTGCCACCTTCAGTGCGGCGGGCACACGCGCGCCCCGCAACCCCTCCCTCACCCTTTCCCCGTTGCTCAATCTCCGCCAGCCGCGGTCGCTGCATCGTCAGAGAGCTGCAAGAGGGAGGCAGCAAGGCGCGGCCGCTAGCAGTGACACCATGTGACCGGCACGGCTCAGTGACACGCAGCTTTGGTTAAAGAGCGGGCGCACAGGAGGGGAGGAGACGGCGCGCGGGACAGGGAGGAATGGCCTGTCCCCCTTAAACCATCACAAGCCATGGTTGCAGAAGGGCCACGCGCCTCCCAGTAGGAGAATGACTCCGATTCGTGACCCTCAGCGCGGGTGCATGTCGATGTAAGTGCGAGGCCGGCGAGCAGAGTGTGAGTGGGGGTTGGTGGTGAGGGGAGATTCTGATGCAATCGGCCCGGAAAGGAGGAGGAGAGACAGGCGAGCGCGGACTGGGGCAGCCACGCCACTCCGCCTGAAGGTCGCCAGGAGCCTCCGCCCTTCACCTTCCTCGGAAATCCGCCAGGCCACGCCAAGCTCCCTGCCCAGCCCTGACTGACGGGAGCCACCTTTTCCCGGCCTCCGCAGCCAGACCTTGACACAAAGGACATCAAACTGCCGAGGGTAAAAACCCCGGAAGGGCGGACACATCCACGTCGCCTTTCGCCACCTTTCCCTTTATCTGCGGAGGTAAGGTGATTATCCGTTCCCTGGGAGGGCTGGGCAAGCGGCGAGGGGATGTTTAGATGTGGGAGGAGGCAGTAACGTAGAAATCATCTCTGCTGGCGTGAAAGCAGAGAGAGCTAGGCTGTGCCGGATGCTTTCGGATGTTGCTTTTAGGAGAGGAAAAGTCCAGGTCTCCTGTGCTTCCCGAACGCATGCGGCAGAGCGAGGAAGCGCCAGGGCCCCCGAGTTCACCTTTGCGTGGGCTGTGGCTTACTTTTTGGTTTGTTTTCCTGTGGCTTTGGTGTGTTTTCCTGTGGCTGTGGCGGAGTGTGGTACCAGATCTGGTTCCATTTTTACGAGGGCCGGGAACCACGCAGGTCTGGAGGGAGAGCGCATCTGACCCGAGGGCGCGACCCTGTTCTAGGAGTGTTTGAATCCCCGACCTTTGGGAAAAATTTCCTGTGTCCCCAAGGCCCAGGGGAGATCGTGTGATGTCCTGGGGTGCTGCGTGTGGCCGGCTGGGTAGCCGCGGCGGACCACCAGTAAACCGGAGCACGTTTGCCGTCCTTCCTGGTGCTCTGCCCCTCTGTAACGCGGGGAAGTAGGAGGGCGCGAGGAGAAATTACTAAAGGATGTTTGCAAGTGACTCACTGTCCTTTCCTGCCCTGAAGAGGTTTTTCTAAAATGCAGAGGGTGGCGGGGGACAGGGATAGTGTTTTATCGAGAGCCGGGATGTGCTGGAGCCAGCGAACAAAAGGCCACCTCTTGCGCGGTCTTGGGCGCTGACTGCTCTCGCTTCCAGTCCTACCTCCTTCCCAACCCCCGACAGCAAGCTCGCGTCCCTAAACATTGCCACAGAGGCCTTTAAATGCGTGGGTCGGTGCCGGGAGGAGAGCGCACCTTCGCCCTTGTGCGAGCCCTTTGCCCCCTAAATTACCCACCTCCCGGAGCATGGGGCTCCTCAGTACCGTTGGGATCCGGTAGGTTACCCGGCTGCCTGGGCGCCGATTCCCTGCCAAATCGCCCGCCCAAGGTTTTTGCTGAACTGTAGTCAGTGAAGGCACAAGTGCATATGGCAGCAAAAGGAATTTCGCGGTAACCGCGTCACGCCGCTCCCAGTGCCTTTCACAGGCTGCCTTGGACTGGGGAAGGTGGTGCTACAATTCAGAGTCCTTTGTCTTGCTCTGCGGCGCGGACCCGAGGCTTATACAAACCCTCGTTCTCTGTTAGAAACTAACTGCCGCCAGGATTCGTTTACTTTCTCAGACGAATCCACGGTGATGTGTGTAGTAACAGTGAAAAAAGACGCCTCTGCTAGAAAACGGTATTCATTTGCGTTTGGAAGGGGTTTTGACCTCTCTGCAGTGGGTTTTTACATTTTTCAATACAAGGGGGAGGAAGAAAATACATTTATGGTTTGCAGAATGCAGGGCCCAGCGAGGGTGTAATTTGTCACCTTGATAAAAGAAACTGTGCAGCAACTCGTGCTTTTTCTGACGTCAGAAGGACAACGGAAATAAAACCTGAGCTCGGTGCATGGCTGGCCTCGTTGTCAGATACCTCATGCTAGTTTGGTCCTCCCGAAATCTTGCAAAACAGCCAATTCCGGGGTGCTGACCCGGCGTGGACCCCCTGGATTTTGGTTCGACCCCAGCCTCAAAATGGCTTTTCTCTTGAGAGTCACTCGAGTTCTCAGTATGTCGCCGCAAGCAATTGGAAACTGGCCTAGTTTGGTTTGAGGTCTTAATCTTGAGATTTATTCGCTTTTTTAAAAAATGTGGCCAATAAACATTTTCTACAGAGGGTTTACTGTGCGACTGGTAGCAACTAACAAGATTTGTTTCACCTTCTATGAAGCTTCCGTTCTCAGGGGGAAACAGACTATATAAATGTAGGCATATACATTTCGGGTATTCTTAGTGCAATGAAGAAGTAAAACAGGATCATGTGATGGGGGAGGATGCTTGAAATAGAGTGACTCACCGGGAGGGCCAGTGTGAGGGTATAACATTTGTCCTCAGACCCGAATGATGAAAAGGGACCAGCTATTTCTATAATTGAGGGAAGAAGGCCAGCAGGAGGAACAGGAAGAAGGAACAGCAAGTACTTACTGCACTCTTCTTTGACTGTAATATAATTGAACAGAGAGATGAATAGATTTTAAAGGTGTTTTGGATCTTTAAACCTATATGTATGTTGTTTGTGTATATTTTTTTAATGATGCTCCATGAATTAAGGCCGTTTAATGAAAGGAGCACCATGTTTAGGAGTCCTGACATCGGAGGGTTGTTACTCTTTTCTTTACTCTGGGTTATGCTTGTGGACAAAAACCAATTTTACTCATTGTTCCTCTGATGTCCAGCACATAGTACCTGCTTAATAAATACTTGTTGGATTGAGACCTTGGTCAAGCCATCTTGTTCATCTCTTTGTGATGTTATTGACCATCCCTTCCTTTCTATATCTCATCTGTTCCCCTTCTCCTAAGTTTGAAAATTACAGTCTTTCTCTTCTCTGCTTCTCCTTCTCTTACTGCCCTCCCCACTTTGAGCAGTGACCAGGCCCTTGAAAATACCCCTCACACTTGTCCTCTTGTCTCCATTTCCACTGCCCAAGTTCAGGTCCCTGTCACCTGACCTAGACTTGGAGACATATGAAACAGATATAGAGGTGCCTTGAACAATCTCGGGGAAGTGGGAGTGGGCGGTGGAGAAAAATGCAAGCACAACACATGGTTAAGAGTGAAACAGCCAGTTACTGAGGTGCCACAGCTTTCCTGTTGGTCTCCTCCATACCAAATTATGCTCCCCTAATTAAATCGCCATTCTTTCATGAGATTTATATTTCTAAAATTCAGTTCACATTTTGTTAAAGGACCTTGCTTTTAAAAACTTCCGTGGGTTTCCATTGCACACAAATACAGTCTAAATTCCTTAGTCATGCACTTAGGACCCTTTGCAATCTGCCTCCCCATCTCTTTCCAACTTTTTCTCTTGACATTTTCTTTCTCACAGTTCACCCTATTCCCTCCCTATTACTTTTCTGCTTCAATATCTGTGTGGATTGGATTCCAGTCCAGAATGCCTACTGAAATCCTATGTACTTGTGATGGCCTATCCCTGATGCCACTTTTCCACCTCTTGGGAGAAGTGTTCACTGATCGCCTCATTGGCATTTTCATAAAGATTTGTTTATCTTTCATGTTTTGCACTATTGTTACTCCAGATGATAGAAGGTGGTGAATAGGGGTTTAAGCTCTGAGTCAAATGTAAATATCAGGCCTCAATTTACTCACCCAGGAACCTTGGGCAAGGTGTATGGCATCTCTAAGCCTCAGTTTTTTCATTTGCTTAATGGGAATGATGATGGTGGTGGTAGTGTTGGTGGTACTTTATTTGAGTCATGGTAAGAATTTAATTAAGATAATGAATGTGAAATATTTGGTATAGTATTAGCATACCATATGTATTGAATTAAACCAGACTCTCATCTCTCAGAGGAGGGAGAGAAAGTTGATCAGTAAAGTTCACTTTACCTCTGAAATTCTATGACTATGTAATCTTTTTAAAATACTTTTCTGAAAATAATATCTTAGTGGAAACTACCTGGATCTTTTTAGTGTCTGGGAGAATATATATCTATGAAAGGTGGTGAGGAGATGGGAGAAGAACGTGTGCAGAAGTACTTTGAAAACCTGTGATAGACTTAGAAAAAGACATCTTGTATGCACACAGAGTAATATAATGGACTGTGGAGACTCAGAATCCAGAGGTTGGAAGGGAGGATGCAAGATAAAAAGCTACATATTGGGTACAATGTATACTACTCAGATGACAAGTGCACTAAAGTCTCAGATTTCATCACTGTCATTTGTATAACCACCAAAAATCACTGATACCCCAAAAGCTATTGAAATAAAAACATTTTAAGTAAAATTAAAAGATTAGCTTCAATAACCTACAAAAAGACACTGACCCTAAATTTAAAGTAAAATTTTAAATTTAAAAATATTGTTGTACTTATTTCTGAATATTGATCACATTTGTTTTCTAGTGATAACCTTACTAACAGCAGAGGAGTTCCCCTAACCTTGTTACCTTCCCAATCACTGAATTCCTCTAGTATTAGTCAGTAACTCTGTTTCAAGTGAGGTTACAATGTGTCTTTGCCAATAACTAGCTGGGTACCCTTGAGCAACTCATTTCACGTTTTTATGCCTCATTTTCTCATCTGTCCAATGCTAATAATAGTATCAGAGCTGCCTACCTCAGAGTTGTGAAGATACAATGAGAACAGAGCTGAGAAAGTCCTTGAACAATTCAAGATGATAGTCGTCTGGCATTAAGCACACTGCTGATCTTCAGGGTCAGGTGATGGTTTTAGATTAGTGAGTCTCAGAGCAGACTTCACATTAGACTCATCTAGGGTGTTTTAAAATCTATCAATACCAAGACTTCATCTCCAGAGATTCAGATTTAATTGGCCTGGGATGGAGCCCAAATATGGGAGCTTAAAAAATATCAGGGGTGATTTTGATATGCATTGGTTTAGATTTAAAGCAGGGAAAACAAAACAAAATCAGAAATTAAATGAGGACCTCCATATGTTGCTTGACAAAGTCTTAGTCTTAGTAGTGTGAAATTATGAGCTTGACTGATTTTCCCCCTGATTTTACTAAACCAACCATTTGTTGACATCATGGAGCCACAGCCTCAGGTTACAGTTTATAACCTGAATTTTCCCAGGCATAGAAGCCTGTCCAGTGATACAGCCAGAGCCACATGAAGATTTAATGTGTGGATCTCAGTTTCCATCTCTTAGGAGTGATGAAGTTGGAAAAGAAAAAGACAATGGAAAGGAAAAAGAAAGGGATAGACTATGGACCAAGGTATAGAAGAAAGAGGCTCTGGGCAGGAGACAGACAGGGCAGAGCACAGAGAAAACATTGTGCTTGATTTATTGAACCAGTTTTGTTTAGGTTGCAAACTGGTGGCTAGAGAGCCAAATTAAGCTTGTGAGCATAT